TACCCCATCTACTTTGTTCATAGAGCTAATTTCTACGCATTTTCCAAAATGCAACTCAAACTTGTAATGTTTCCCCTAATGTTTCTCCAAGCCCCGTCCAGGAGCAGGTTGGTTGCCACAGTTAGAATTCCTAAAAATTTATACTCCTATAGCCTTTGTCCAATGTAAACCAAGTAATTAGGTGATGAAGTTGTTTTTCCCTGCTAGAACCTGAAGTCCATGTCTACCCTGTTTCCCATTTTGTTCCCAGCCCCTGGCAATACCTAGCACATAGAAAATCCTCAATTAATGTTTATGAAACTAATAAAACTATTTTTATGAAGCATGTTAAGTATTCTAATTAAGATTATTTTATAGACCACATCTAATCACTTTTAAGAATTAGATTGTAATAAAATAACACTTATCACTAAAACTATACCAGATATCTATAGAGTATTTTTTTTATTATTCAGATAGCTTTTCAGTTTTCATTGTCTCTAGGTAAGTAAAATTTTATATCATTAGGTCAGCATCAGATGAGCTGCTTAATAAAAATGTCAGATGAGAGCCAGGTACCGTGGCTCATGCCTACAATCTCAGCATTCTGGGAGGCCAAGGTGGGTGGATTGCCCTAGCTCACAGCTCACAGGTTCAAGACAGCCTGAACAAGAGCAAGACCCTGTCTATAAAAACAGTCAGGCATTGTAGTGGGTACCTGTAGTCCCAGCTACTTGGGAGGCTGAGGCAAGAGAATTGCTTGAGCCCAGGAGTTGGAGGTTGCTGTGAGCTATGACTGGGCGCTCTACCAAGAGTGATACAGTGAGACTTGGTCTGAAAAAATACATATATATCAGATGAGAGACCAAAATTCTGAATAAGAATTTGCAGCATACCTTTTATATAACTAGTTTGGGAGTATTCTTGGTGTTGTATGCTGCATACCTATAAAGCAACTAAACAATGATAAATTACTTTATCTTCACAGAAAAAAAGCATTCCCAGTACGTAATCACATTAATTCAAATACTCTGTACCTATTGTGTGTCATTCACTGCTAGGCATTCAAGGTATAGTACAGGACAAAATAGATTTTATTTTTGTCCTTTTGGATCTTCAAGTTTAATAGGGGCATTGGATAGTTTATAAATGATAATACCAACAAATATGCAATCAATTTTGAGTATTGTTACAAAGAAGAATTAACGGATACAATAATTGGTAGTGATACCAGCTGTCAGGGAA